AAGGGAAAAAAAAAAAAAACTTAAAAAAAAAAGAAAATAAACACCTTTCCGAAAAGTTTTTTTCACCACAAAACCTTTGTCGAAACGTTGTACATTTGCTGTTGTATTAAAGTTTTTCTTCATTACCCATTCAAGCCGTCTCCAGCCATTATTAGCTACTAAGATATTAAGTCGTTTTGCAATGTCTGTGGAAATGCTCTCCTCAATCCAAGTATATATTCTCCTATAAAACTGTATTATAAATTAGCATTGGAATGCATGCAAGTTGACCAATTCACAGCATGGTTTTGTGCATAAATACTTGAATTAAAGTGAGAAGCACATGTGGAATAACCGTCAAGAGAAATTAACATTTTCGAGCTGACTGGCACCTCATGCGAACGTGGCTTAGGTCCTGGTGTAGGTGTCCCTCATTTTGAACAGAGGGAAGATAGCAGTAGCCCCAGTACCACCTGCCTATCCCAAGTGTTTGCCCAGCTATTTGAGACGAATAACGGGATTGGCTGTCATTTTATTACGCACCTACAACTGATGTTCTTTGGAATTACTCGAACCCCGAATTCTCGACCCGTAGCCTTACACGCTGACTAACCCTCATGGTTTGGTGATTCACGCTACGATGTGTTTTTAGTTTCAGTTCAACATGAATAGTGTACTGGACACTCTATAAACTGTGAGGCCAGGTTCTCCTCAGTTCAACATGAATAGTGTACTGGACACTCTATACACTGTGAGGCCAGGTTCTCCTCAGTTCAACGTGAATAGTGTACTGGACACTCCGTACACTGTGAGACCAGGTTCTCCTCAGTTCAACATGAATAGTGTACTGAACACTCCATACACTGTGAGGCCAGGTTCTCCTCAATTCAACATGAATAGTGTATTGGACACTCCATACACTCTGAGGCCAGATTCTCGAGAAGATGAGTGGCCACAGTTTTTTAACAAAAGCTTCTCCACTGTCAAGAATTACAAAAGTGATCAGAAAACGTGGCCTAGATGATCAGTATAACGTTTGATAACGTTTCATGGGATATTTTAACACGGAAAAGAATGTTCCCTAATTTGGAGTACAATTTTTCATGATAGCCACACAACTCATTTCAAAATGCGCAGCTAAAACCTAGAAAAAGTTTGTAACTTACTGATGTGTACTAAAGACATAAAATTATTGTTTTCTTATGTTTCGGTAATAAAGTATATAACACTACAAAAACAAAACAAATTAACCCAAAGTTAGTACATAATTCTTGAAACATATCAACATTTCGGAAACGTCTGTGGAGTTTAAAAATGGCTGACTTTATTTGCAACACAAAAGGTCTTCGATAATCTAATATATTAACCACATTTCTCTATTACAGACCAAATAATAACAATTATGATAAAGAATAATGCGTGATTACTGTATTGTACTTTTTTAGCATAAATAACTTCTTTAATTGGATTTGTTGATTTTTTACAACTATATGTGATTGAAACAATATAAGGTTAAATAATACATACGACCTGTTCTTGCAAAAAATAATTGGAGTTTATATAACTGTTCTTTGTTTTTGTTGCATTTCGGTGATGGTATAGAGCATTAGTCTTTTAAAACAGCTGAAAATGTTTCTCCAGTTTGTAAGCATATACGAAACATAGCCTAAACTGATGTGTGTCCCGCGCAACGTATCTCAAGGTCCAAGGTCCGTGCTGCGATGTGTATTTCTCAATATGTTCTACGTCTTCATCTGAGGGTGCATTATACCTACAGGTAATAAAAAAATGCAAAAATTAAGTATAATGTTGGGGTACCAATGCCAAAAAGTACAGAAACAATTGAAACATTTGCAGCATTTGAGGCATTTTTACGCTATTTTCAAATGCTTAAAGAAATGAGAAATATAATTTCATAAAATTTTATGTATGATATAAACGTATGTAAAAGTTGGGCACATCTAATTAATGCATACGAAGAGATACACAACGATGCCTGACCAAGAAAGGAAATGTATATGTCAAGTATAAACTAAGGTTCATTCCAGGCAGTATTGAGAATCAGCTGTTTACATTATCTATAGACAGACGCCACAGCAGTAGAGAGAAAGCTATGATAAAGTTTATATTAACTTCAGTAGAGACTGGACACAACTTCTATACACCTGGAAAAAAGTTAAGCACCCCCGTGTTTTTTTCAAGTGATTCAGATTCGACGTTCTTGTGACTGATTATAAATTACTATTCAATCTAAACGTGTTTATCA